TTTGAATTGACAGTTGATTTAATTGAACTACATCCCTTTCTTTGATTTTTTTTCTTGGATTTTCTCTGTAGCATTTAATTTTGATAATTTAATGATTCTTTTCTATTACAATGGTAATTATTTTTGTTGGCAGTGCAAGCTATCACCAACCACTACTGCATGAGTTTGAATCCCGGCCAGGGAGCTGACCCACATGGCACGGCAGACCCTTCCAGTCTCACCTGCTGCTCCCCTCAGCAGTGTCTTTCAGTACATCTGCCTGTTCTCCACATACTCTCACTCCCTGCATCTTTGCATCTTGTATGCATTTATAAATAAAAGTAAATCTTAAAAACACACACACACACAATACAAAATGTTGGACCTGTATGTTTGGAATATTTAAGATAAATATTTTGGTGACTAGATTTTATATAGTTCCTTTAATTGCGATGGTATATATATAATATAAAATATATATACACATATAATATATGCATATTATACATATATACATACATACAACACATATATAATATAAAATCTATACATATAATATATGCATATTATACATACATAAAACATATACATATATACCATATGTATATGTGTATGCATATATACATATATGCAATATAAAAATGAACGTGTGTGTGTGTGTATATATATATATATATATATATATGTATGTATGTTTATTTTTACATCATTTTGTGCATTTTTTCATCTCGGTCGTACTCCCTGTGGGCTTCCCATCACCAGTCACCCTGTGCCATCACCACAGTCCAGTGCATTTGCAATGGTTGTTTGTAAGTAGTTTGCTGTTGGTTTAAAGGTGCAAGACTTTAAAGTAGTCAGAATTGTTTTGATTGAATCTGTGGGTGGAAGCAGCTAACTCAGTACTTTTGAGAGGGGAAACCTGTAGCCTCTTTTTCTGCAGCTTCTCCCAGTGGCACTGTCTGCCCTTCCTCTATGGTGGTACCATTTTTCTGGCACAACTGAGTAATAGCCTGCTTCCTGACTGCTGAGGATTTTTCTTCCAGTTTTAAGCCATCGTTGCACACAGGGAATTATATAAGGAATTGTCTAATTCTGGACTGCTACTGTGTTGTGCAAAACAAGATAACCATCATTCTAGAATATTTTTAATTTATGCTGTGATATCTATAAAGAATGAAAAACCTCAAAGATGCTATTTGAGCATCTTAAAAAAAGTTGTGTCATTTGCTCCCCAAACTGGCACTTTTTTTGGTGGTCATTAACTGTGTGTCAGTATGGCTACATGCTCCATTCTCTGTGGTGCCTTTCTCCTCCCATTGCACATGGGTAAAATAGCTCTTTCTGTGCACCTGCAACAATTTTTTTCAAAGCCTGGGATTGTTGTGGCAGTTCCCCTCTCTCCTTTGGAGGGGAGAGATATACATTATTATAGGATTGGGAAAGCTAAAGGTTTCTTCCAGAATGTTTTCTTTGAAATAAGTTAGAAATAAGAAACTGTGATTGCTACCCTGGCTTCATCTGGTCATTTGCTGCTGTCTGACATGTGGAATCATTGTTTCTGACTTGCATCACCAGATGGGCCAGCTGTCTACCCAGAGCCAAGTAAGGGAGTGTGGACAGTGCATGCTTCCTGGCCTAGTGGTGCTCTCTGCCTAAGCCAGGTGCTTTGCTTTGACTGTGTGTGTTCTGTAACTTCCAGTCAGCCTCCTCTTTACCTTGGGCTCCTAATTTTCTGCTGGTGTTCTTGTAGTCCTCATCCAGACACACATCATTCCTGGACCTTACTCTTCTATCTACTGAAAGCTGCACAGCTGTCCTCTCTTTAACACAGTGAATCTTTCTCCCAGAACGTTAGCATTTTTCTCCATGTCATCCAAGAGGACCACCAAATTATAGAAGGCCCCTCTAGTCAAAACACATGCTCCCTTGGAGACTTCTGTGTTGGGATGACTGTGTCTGCATGTTTAGTTAAGTGACCTTTGCAAGTTACTGCTGAGCGTTATCAAAGAAATGGTAGCTGTATCAAGAAACCAGTGTCTGGCTTGTTACATGATAGAACTACAAAAAATTTACATACTTTGCTGATACAACTCGACTGAAGGGTGGACCGTGATCATTAGCATCAGGTGTCAGTGCCTCTAAGAGTAATATGTAGGTGGGTGGTGGTGCCTTTGGTCCTGCTTCCTTTACCCCCACCTATCTTTATTTGATATCCATGATAGCTCATTCTCCCCATATTCTCTGTCATTACTTTCTTTCCACCGTCTGTAAACTTCTGATGTTTTTCAAACATCTGTGTCTACTACATCTGCTGTGCATTGATGATCTCATCCGTGCTTTGGGCTCAGTCATGGTCTCCAGGCTTGTGACTCCGGAGCTGGGTGCTCCCTCCTGTCCCTTTCCTAAGCTTTAGTTTCCTATTTCATCTGCTTGCTGTACATACTTATCTGGATGTTCCATGATTCCTCTAAAGCAGCATATATTCCTAAGACCAGCTAGCTTGAAAACCTTTCTCCTGATTTATTGCTGTTAGTGTTAGCGTTTTTCTCCATGTCACCCAACACTTTACTGTGTAGCCTTTGTTGTTATTTTTGTCTGTCGTCCTACCTCTCACAGTTGTCCCTTTCTACCTCCTAACAGATCAAAACATCTCTTATGTGTATCTGGTTCCCACTTTACCATTCTTACTCATAGTGAATTTGTTTCTCAGCAAAACTGCCCGTGTAAATCAGGATACCCATTGCCACCAGGTTAAACTTCCATTTATAAATTACTTCTTTACAGTAGTCTGTCAGTCACTCTGTTGTCAACCAAATGAAATGCAAACTTCTGTGATCTGTCTACAAGCACCCTTCCTCAACTCCCTCCAGTGAGTTCCACTCTATGCTTGAGACTGGAGCCCTTACAGAGTGACCTACACAGTAAGGAGTCCTGCTTTTATGGAGCTTATAGCCCAGTGAGGAGCAAAGTGTGAGTATCCTGAAAGAAATAAAAGGAAGATATGGGCCCTCCCTGGTGGCTCAGCAGGTTAAAACACAGCACTAAGAAGCTTAAGTCACTTCCATATGAGTTCGATCCCCGCCTGCCTTGGAGGTGATCCACATGAGTGGGAGACCTCTCCTGACCCGCCCACTGCTCCCCTCAGCAGTGTATTTCGTTGATCTGCCTGTTCTGCTCCCCACTCTGTCTCTGGTGAATCCTCTCACCCTCTGCATCTCTGGCCTGTACCCCAGATCTGTATGAATAAATAAATAAATCTTAAAAAAAAAAAAAAGGAAGATGTGAGCAAGGGAATAATGGGGGAGAGCCTACCAGAGATGAGAGGACCAGGAAAGTTTTCCTGTGAGGTAATATTTAAGATGAGATCTGAAGGATGTGAAGGAATTGGCCATGGAAAGAGGCAGAGGAAACAAAAGTACAAGAACATGAGTTAAGAAAGAGCCCTGCCTGTTCGCAGAAGGCCCTTGACATGGGGAATAGCAAATGAACTGGAGAGGTACAAGATACATTTTTATTCCAGGTGTCATGTCTCAAAGGGTTTTCTAAGCAGCAGAGTCACATAATCTGTTTACATTTTAAAAATATCAGGTGAATGGTAGAAGCAAGGATACCATTTAGGAAGGGCTCCAACAGTTGTCTAGGCAAGATGGGCTTGCACTAGACTGTATTTTTCAGTCTCAGCAGTATTGATACTGGGAACAAAAAATTCTTTCTTGTGAGAAGCTGTCTTATACACCATAGGATGTTTGGAAGCATCCTGGGCCTCTAAGCCAGAACCGCTCCCTCCAATTGTGGTGACCAAGATGTGACCAGATATTGCAAATTTTTCACAAGGGACAGAGCCACCAGCTGGTTGACAGCCATTGGCCTAGCTGGTGGCAATAGAGATGACATGCATTGGGAAGGTAGAGAGACAGTCCATGGCAGTGACTGTGGAGCAGGGGGGAAAAGGAGAAATTCAAACATGCTTCCCGTGTACATTACCGCATTACCTCACCAGAACCTCTACTGTAGGCCACTGAGGGTGAACCTGTTCTCTTAGATCATAATGTTGTGAACAAATGTTTCCAGAATAAAAAGTGCTCTAATTAAAAGTAAATGACATTTATTATTTTATTTAAGCCTACAAAAATTGTCTTAGCTGTTTATGTTCAACATCTGGGCAGATGGTGTTACAGGTGTTTTAGATTCTTGGCATTGCTCTTTCTTACCGCCTGAGCCTGTTCTTGAAATATGCCATTATCTGCAGTGACACCCACTCTATCCTTCTCCTTTTTCTAAATGCCCTCTTAGTGGGCCAGCTTAATGGCCATCTTCTTGAAGTCTTCCTAAGTTAATCCACCTACGGTGGCCCTTTTCTTTTTTTACTGGATTTCTACAGCCCTGTATTCGTATCCCACTTAGACTGTTTCTGGTACTATAAGCTTCTGTAAACTTCCAGGAAAAGAAGAAGCAGGACTAACAAAAAGAGGGCAGCAAAGATGACTGTGCATCTGAACTTACCTTTTGTATTTCTCATGGTGGCAGTGTGATTTTCCTCTAGTCATCTTCCAGCCCCCAAGGCCATCATCTGCTGCTGGCAAGCTGTCCACTCAGGTTCATGGAGGCTGTCACAGAATCGGATCCCTTATCAATATGCTGTCTTGTATTTTAATTATTAACGTGGTTCTGCCATTTCCCAGACTGTGGGCCATACAGACCTTTATTCCATGCAGAGCCTAAGCCTACCACAGTATTGATTATGAACTGGTACTCGGTAGTCATTGAATGAATGTCACTGAATCTGGTATACCCCACCACATTTTTTACTCGAGTATAATGGACTTAAGGAGGAAAATCAGCATTTTTCTGTAAGGAGCACATACAAATTTTATAATCAGGTTTTTTTTGGTGGAAGATCGGCTGGTAGTTCATGTTGTTAATGCAATCAGTTGGCTTAAATGTACAATGACTTATTTTTTGCTTTTACAGTCTGGAATGTGCATTAGTAATGAGATATCTGCTCTATTTCTGTGTTACAGCTCTGGTTGTAAGTACCACTTCTGCTGGATTTGCGCTAGCTCCAGGACATTTTGACTGGCCCTGTTTCCTGCTTACTGTTGTTGGAACAGGACTTGCATCCTGTGCTGCGAATTCCATCAACCAGGTCAGTTTGTTACCTTTCAGCTAAACTATGGGATTGCTTCTTTTTCCTAAACTAAAGTCTTGTCACATTTTCATAGACTGCCCATCCTGTGCCTGGATGTGGAGGCATTATGAACTGGAAACACTGCATACCTTACAGAAGTCTAAGGGTCTATAACCAACTTGTCTTTTCTTGTGAGGTGAATAGTTTTCAAAGATATTCAAGTAAGAGAACAATAGAATATGCTCCAAATAATGAGGGTTTCTTTTGTTTTATTGCAGTGTACTTTAGTAAAAAATTAAAATAAAAATGTTAGTGTTTTAGGCTCTCAAACTTTCTATTACCCATTTCACTTATGTTCCCCTGAGCTTATTACTATGTGCTGTTCTTTGCTTGGATTAATTTGTTTACATTATGCCACAACTATACAAAATGGTGTTTTGAGCAAGCATATCCAGCTTTGTAAGAAAAATTACCAATTCAGTAGCCCATAAATCTGGTATTATGGAATCAAAATCTGTAACAAAAATACTTGGGATTTTTAAGATTTAGAACTGGAATACAAGAACTAGATAAGATTTAGAACTGCATACAGAACTGGGATACAAGCAGAGGTGCAGGGTTGGTGAGAAGATTCACCAAAGACAGAGCAGGGAGCAGAACAGGCAGATACACTGCTGAGGGGAGCAGTGGTGGGTCAGGAGAGGTCTGCCACGCCATGTGGATCACTCTGGGGCCTGGGATCGAACTCAAACTGAAGTGGCTGTAGCTCACTTACAGTGCTGTGTCCAGGATTTATTTTTAATGTACCTTCTCTCCCCTCTTCCCATTACTTTAAACTTCAAAATAATTTTCTAAAATAGTATTTCACCCTTGCCTGTTCATTGTGGTGAGCTCATATTGTGGTTTTTCCTAAGGTACTACAGTGAAAAAGTTTTGGCTAAAATTTAAGGAAAGTTGTTTTCACCAGAACACCCAGGAGAAGTTGGCAAAATTTTAAAACAGGAATTCAAGTTGCCAGCAGAAAAACAGCTTAGTTGAGTAGATACAGAGCTCAGGAGTCTGTAAAATATGTGACTTTTAATTCAATAATGCCTAAAATTATTAAATTTTTAGACTGTATTATCAGCTATTTGGTGAAGGATCAACCTATTTTAATTAAATAAGGCTAATTTTTTTGGTCTCCCTTCTAATATCAGAACTGTTCTATTGAGATTAGAATCCAGTGGCCAGAAATGTTGTTCCCTCCTATAATCTGTGATGCTATCTCTTCCGAGTTGCTGTTTCCTTTTGCTACCTTCCCCTATTTCTTGGCTACTAGAATATGTTTCACATTGAACACATTTTTTTTTTAATTTATTACAAAGTTTATTTTTACATCATTTTGCACATTTTTTTTCCATCTCGATTGTAATCCCCGCGGGTTTCCCATCACCAAATCACCCCTGTGTGAACACATTTTTAATGAAAAATTGAATAAAAAGCAATGAAAGCAAATAGATTTATGCAGCAATTTTGAACTCTATTTTTTAAATTTTTTAAATTTTATTTAGTTATAAATCTAGGTCATAAAATAAAAGTCAAGAACACATTCTAGTTTTCAGGTTCATTTTTAAAATTTAAGAGCTGCATTTGTCCTTGAGATATTACTATCTCTTGTTTAAATTATAATGTAGGAGGTTGATATTTATATTAAAAAAAAAGGTTTAAAATAAAAATGGCAAGGTGGCAGCAGAGTGAAGATGATGGCTTGCCTCCTCTGCATACTCACAACCAAATTAACTATAGTAAAACAAGGTCTGCAGCCCCTGAGAATAAATAGATGCGTGTTACATACACCAGGAGCAATGGTGCTATGGAAAGTAGGGGAAAATGTAACTGAAATGTGTGTGAGCAATAACTGGGGCTGTTCACCCCGTGAGCAGGAGGTCTGCTGCTAACAGTGTTCTGTGCGGTTGTTGGCTCAGGGCACATGCTGCATCAGGGACTTTACAAACCAGACACTGCCCTGAAGAAGGGGGGCACAGAGTCTGCATCAGGGACAGAGTGTACCACTGGAGAACTGGAGGAGTGAGGGTTGAACGTAGTGATTAATCGGAGGCTTCTAAATTAGAACAGTTGAAGTCCCAATCTGCAGGGAGAACCCGATGGGATCATCTGTGTTTCCTCACAGAGGAGGCTGTCATTTGTAGCCTGAGGTCGGGGTCTTGCCTTACATCAGAGCCAAAACCAAAACAAGTGCATGTTCTCACTAACTAGAGTTTGAAGCACATAGATCTCTGTAACAAGCTCTACCGCCCCACAGAAAGGCTCCTACTAGAAAAGCAGAGAAGAGTTCCCATCGGTGGCACTGTCTGAATCAGCTATATCCCCATCCTGCATTACTTCCCCATTAAGATGGCACTAGTCTGGAGGTGACATTTAGGCCAAGGAGTTGGCCTAGGCGATTACTGTGAATTCCCTATATACTAATTGTAGGAAGCTTGAGCCTTTTCACTGGAAGTGATTTTTTGGTACCCTACTTCCTGAATTCTACTTACGACCCCACATGCTCCTAAAGTTAGTGGAAGGAAGAAAATAATATAAATAAGAGTAGAAAGAAATAAAACAAATCACAAAGATCCTACAAAAGATCAATGAAACTAAGAGTTGTTTCTCTGAAAAGATAAAATCAATAATTCTCCAGCAAAGCTAGGCAGAATCAGGAGGAAAAAATGGAATGATTTACATTTAGACCCCAAACTACTGAAACTAAACAGGTACCAAGGTTTAGGAATTTTCAAAGAAGCCCTTCTTTATTTTGTAGTCTGTGGGAAGTATATTTATGATAGGAGTTGCTGGAGGGTGGATAATTAACTTATATAGATTTTAAAGTACTGAACAAAGCCACAGAAAGCATGATGGAATTCTCTATGAACTGATAAATTGAATTTTTTGCCTCTTATGTTAATATTTCCTTAGATTGGGTTCCTGTCCTGTGCTGTATCTCACTAAACACCTGTCCTGTTCTTCCTCCGGAAAGCTTTCACATTATTCCCCTACAGATTACTCATCCCATATAGGCCTCTTCAGTGGTATTGTGTGAGGTTGACCTTTAGTGCTCTTTTGCACATGAATAATTTCATCTTGTACTCATCATATTGCTCCTTCTACTTGTCCGGCCTCTAAATGCATTGTAGGCTTCCACTTTTATTGTGGTATTGATCGATTTCCACAATTACAGTATTTCCTAGCTAATAAAGAAAATAATGTAGCATTATTTGACAGTCTCACAAAATTAAAGGAATGTAAAGCCATTTTCATTGGTACTTTTAATTAGTATAAGCAGAATGAGGAACACTCAGTAACAGGGTCAGAGCTTTTCAATTGCAGATAGATAAATAGTCCTTTGTGGAAAGAAAGAACTCACTGCTTTTTAAAGGGAGCTGATGTTCAACTTAAAAAATGCATATAATGTGGTTGGTATGTATAAGTCTTCAGCTTCTAATAGAGTTCTATGGAAGAAAATATTTCCTTCTGTCTGTGTTTATGAAAGGAGTCAAATAACATTTCATATATTTTTTTAATACTCTCTTTTAGCTGTTACTGATTTAGTTCTGAGTGAGTCTTCTTTGTACTCTATTTCTGTGATCTCTCTGTGAAAGCAGGAAAAATAAAGCTTTGGAAAACAATTCTTACATTTGTTTTAAGGAGAGAAAATGAGATTCAGCTTCTGATTTATTAAGTAGTGACTAGTACATAAATATATATATGCGTGTGTGTGTCTGTATACATATATATATATGAAACCACTAACATTCAAATATAAAAATGAATTGCATATATGTTTGTAAAGCATACATGTATTTCGTTTGAAACCTTAGTGCAGCTTTAAAGTGGGTGTGCCTTCAAAGAATGAAGGCAGTTCATAAAATGTTTTTATTTAAGCAATTGAAAGATAAAATGCTATAGTTTTGGCTGGTCTACTATTGAGAAACTAGTGATATTCAAATGTGAAAAATTGAATAAATACTAGTAGAATGAATTAAGAAAGAAAAAAGTACGAATTTTCAGGAAATTATCATAATTATATTGGGTATTTATGATAAAGTACATTTGGAATTACTTCCCATATATAATTTTTTTAAAGATTTATTTATTTGTGCATACAGAATTGGGGTACAGGCCAGAGGCTCAGGGGCGGCAAGAGGCTTCACCAGAGACAGAGTGGGGAGCAGAACAGGCAGCTCGACAAAGTACACTGCTGAGGGGAGCAGTGGGTGGGTCAGGAGAGGCCTGCGGCACCATGTGGTCACCTCCGGGGCAGGCGGGAATCGAACTCATGCGGAAGTGGCTTTAGCTTCTCAGTGCTGTGCTTTTAACCCGCTGCACCA